CTGTAGTTTTTACGACAACGAGAAAGGGCCAAAGTAAATGATTACTACAGATGCTGCAGAATCCAGTCTTTCACTTCTGTTTATGTTTCTAACCTTAAGCAAACAATAAATGTAATGTATCCTGCATGCCACACTGAAGTCTTAATAAAAGAATTCATTCTCGGTAAACATGGCAGAATTAGGGCTGTATTGAAAATGGAATCTGGATTAGTGGTATTGAAATGCAAGGAATTTAATTCTTTTCCAATCTCCCCGAGGAACATGTTCTCAAGTATTAGAAACAGAGCATTAAGGGACTAAGGAAGGACTTAAGTGCTGCAAGTTTGAATTAAAATTAAGGTTGTTCTCACTCCAGTGGGACAACTAAGCCAAAAAAGGGTTATAATTTTTGAGTGTACTACCTCAAAATACTGCTGACAAGCAGTTCACATGGTTCTGCTGTCAAAAAATTAAGTTATTTTCATTTAATGACTTCTATATGTCAACGTTTTTGCTTGCTCTATTATGCCAAAAAGCTTCATGTGCAGACCAGAACCAGCTCCGTACATCCATTTAACTAGTGATAATTAGTGGGATTACCCTGACAGTGGAGGTATTTTTTCAGTATTCTCAAAATCATCTGCAGTAACAGAGCTTGTTTCACTGACAGGAAACATCAGCCAAGACTGGAGGCATTTGCTTTCCTATGTGTACATCTGTACATGCAACATTGCTTTAATTTCTACTTTCTCTCTGTCCCTTCTCCATTGCTTTCCTTCAAGTTGTAGTAAGATCTTCACTTTCTCCTTGGGTAGCCACCAGGCATGAATAGTACTTCTGAGATTTCTCCATCTGACATTCCTGTTTGCCCCCAACTGGAGGCAGAAAGGAGGCTGGGCTAACTTGTTACAGTAGAAGGGATCATCAAAATGCAACCCTTCTTCCCAGTGTCTGCACTTTGTCTCTGGGAGTCCTCCAGAGACTTCTGTAATACCACGGAAAGCCACGTGGAAGGCCGTATTCTTGTGTGTGCTTAATGCATCATGCATGGGACCTAAAGTGACAGTTCTTGTTAGCTGTGAATCTAACCCATGGATGCTTCAGTTCTGACTTAAAAGAACTGTTTGTCCAGGCTATTTCCTGCTCTCTAATTCTCTTTCTTCCTGTGGCCCAAATTTTTATTGGGCTCTGTAATATTTCAGGAAAGTTTCAAATAAACTTCATTGTATTTTTGGATTGTGTTTCCAGAGGAAGTTCAATGGTCACTTCGAAAAGCATAGTTTGCAGTTTCAGTGCTCACCTTGATGAGACTTTCAGATCTGTATTTCATCCCTAGTGATCTGTATGATGAAGGAAGAAAAAGAGTAAATGATAATACTCTAAGAACTCAAGTATTTCCCCAAATACTTTTTTTTTTTTTTTCCCCACTACAGGTAAGCAGTTTATACATTGCCTCTTAAAGACTTTGAGACAGTTATAGAACAGGAAACTTTACTTATAGTTAAGAATTACTCCATTCAGTTCTTGTCTGTATTGCATTGTTTCTAGTGAGTTATGTACAATACTGCAGTGAAATATTGGTGACTCCTCAGAAAAAAACACATACTTTTCCATGAGCTGCATATACTTAGAGCATCATCTTCCTCTCTATCATCTGTCAACACAATGTTTGTGCCAAAAAAAAAAAAAAAAAAAAAAAGGGAAAGAAGTGGTGTTTCCAGCAAGCCAGAAACCCCAGTAACCAGAGTCTCCTGTCTCATCCTGCCTTTCTGACCACAAAATGTGGCTTTTTTGGAGAACATGACCTCTGACACAGCAGGGAAAAATGTTTCGCTGGTGAGCAAATGTCTCCGCTGAGATACCACTCCACAGCTTTTCAGTGTAGACAAGATGGGAATGTTTTGGAAGTTCATGAGGAGAAAATTAGGAGAAAATTTTGTGCCCAGAAAGAATGGCCTCAGTCCTGGCTTTGTGGCATAGGCGGAGGGCAGTTTTAAGGCTGGGGAAGGTGTCCTGGCTGTCCTTCCCAGCTGCTCTCTTCCCCAGTGGAAAGGCAGAGGAAGCCCAGGCCTGCTGTGTTTTTGTGTGTATGTCCATTTGTGTGCAACACCTACTTCCACTGGTTTGCATCACGCTAAAAATGTTTTCTTCCCCTTCCCTTTGCCTGCTGTGGCTCCTGCCAGCTGTCTCTTCTGTCTTCTCATCGTTATCGGCCCTTGCACATGCTGCTTTTCTTCCTTGGTTGGTTAGATACAGCTCTACTCTTTGAGCTTTTATCTTCCTCCCTTCCTTGCTGGATGGAAACAGCTGAGGCTATAAAAATCTCTCTGTGAGCAGAAAAGGTATTAAATTAAAGAGCTTGTGATCAGACTCACTTATCAATTATGCCAGAGTTAACTTTTAAAGACATTTGTGTTATATGAACATGATAACAGTCTTGCAGTGAGCTAAGAAAAACAATGGAGAGGAAGTATCATTTTATAGCCATTAGGTTGTCAAAGTCTTTGGTAGCACTGAGGCAATAGTGATGTGAGTTTACAGTGATTAAGGAAACCTAATCTGGCTGCTACTCCTTTAACTGAAATGTCCAAAGTGGAATGTTTCACTGACACTTCCCCACTCACCAAGAAGATATTCATAATTATTTTGAGAGAAAAGAAAAATATTTTGGCTTTTCTGTTATAAAAAATCTCTCAGGCAGGTATGGAAGTTGGGTAACCTAAGTGTTTATCCTTGATTTTAATTCTCTTTTCAAACGGGTCTCGGATCCTGGGATGCCTGTACATCAAGCTGTTTAAGCCACATTGTAGCATCTCACACTGTGCTGTTGCTATCTTTAGTTGCCCTGTGTTGCCTTCCCCTTGTAATAGCACTCGCGTGTAAAGCTTAAGCCTAAACATACATTAGCCTTTCCACATGGCAGTCTCCTACCTTTCCCCTTCCCCTAGGAAATTCTGGATCTATTGGCCGGTTTTGGACTGACCCAAAACCTGCTGTGTAGCTGTGTGCTCCCAAAGCCAGGGCTGGTGAGGGTCATGCTGGGCCCCCCTTGCGCCCGCACTAGGGCAGCCACGGTGGCTGGGCTCTCTCCTGCCGGCATGCAATTGTTGGAGGGGTCTGCTCATGAATCACTGAGGACTTGAACCTGGAAAGGTGCTGGATGTCCTCAATGCCTTTCGAGTCAATGGGAGTTCATGGCACTTAGTTTCTTGAAAAATTAGACCTTCTGGAAGTCAGGGCATGTAAAATGTTTGTGCTTTTACCTCACAAAGCCACAAAGCTCTTCAGAAAAAGGCATGGAGCATACTATAAATGAAGTATTCAGAGGGGAAAACAAAAATTTCCTGACTTATTCTTGGCACCAAATATTTAATCATGACATTTGGTCTAAGAAAATGTACAAACTCTCAACATTGCCAACTTGTTTTACCCACAAACCAACAACAGACTGATGATGTGCACACAAAGGTTATTTATTTTGAGCACAGCCAGGGAATGTGAGTGTTCCAAATGCTTCCTTATATCTCCCCATGGGATCTCTTTAGTAAGTTGCATAATATTTTTCTGTATTAGAGGATTGTAAGATAGACATGGTAGGTCTCTTCTTTACTTAAATACACTGGTTGTGTTTTCTTTTTTCTTCTTTGAAGGAAATGCAAGCAGAGAATGAATAGTTTGTGAACAGTGTTAAATTAAAAAGCATAACTTCAAAGGCCTTTCTAAAAGTTTATTCTAAAACTATCAGCCAACAGATGATGTTCCAAGCAAAATAACTAATTATGTGGGAGGTTAGGCAAGCATTGATTTAGTTTTTGATTTCTTGGACTGGTAGATAATTCTTTAACAGCAAGGAAAAGAATACATGACTTAAATCTCTGGACTTAAGTCCAGGTAGACTCTCTTCTGAGGACAAGGTTATACATAACCTGTAACAATTTTCTTGGAAAATGTGAAAGCCACTTGGATATTTTCTATGGATCTTGGCTGACTCTAAGATGTTCCCCATCAGAAATTGAGAGCAAAGTTAAAGAAGGATAAGGGAGTGCCGCAATGGAAGTATTTTAGTTCTTGCAAACTTACGTTAATTTAGAATAGCATTGCTCTTACAGAAGGTAAGGGTATTTATTTGGAACATCAGGGACAGTTTGACAGCGATATTACTAGGAAAAGCCAATGGGGCTTAGTGGGCCAAACATCATTACTTTAAATCATCAGCACATGATAAGGTAAGACTCTAAACACATAACTTTAGCATTTAACATGGAGACGTGGAGATAAAATTCCTTTCTCATTTTGTTGAGAGAGTTAGAAAGAGGGGAGCTCTCTGGTTACTTGTTTTCTGTTTCTTCAGTTTTGGTGTAACTTGTGATAATGTTTCTTCTTAGCCTGTTCTGTGCATTTGCTCACGGCAAGTGATTGTGCCAATTCTAAATTGCTTTGGCTAAGCTGCACTCTTGGCCCTCGCTTGTGCAATGGGAGAAAATTCCTTCAAATAGTATTGACTTTTGGCTGTAGGTTTCTAAGAATTCTTAAGACCAAAACGTTACTAGGCATGTACTTGCTGTGACATAAATTCTACTTGGGAAAGCATTCGGACATTTGCATTTTCTTTATTTGTTATCTAGCACTTATCACTGAACAAAAATTAAAGAAATCCTCAGGCTCTCAGTGAAGCTGGTTGTTTTTGAAGCAGTAGGCTTGAGTTTGTATGGTTTTTATAACAGTCTTTGTGAAGTATACACGTCATGACAGCACGAGTATGCTATGTTTACTTGTAACACTTATTTTGGATGCTGCTACTAACTTTTTATACCTGGCTATACAGTCACCATATGCTGTATTTTTATGCCTCTATTGGATATACAGTTTGTGGGTTTAATTTTGTTAGGCAGAACCTGCTTTAACATGACATGTGTTTGTGTTTTCTAGGAATAACATGCTTGAAAGTACTTGGTAGTGTTGGTCACCTGTATCCCAGCACAAGAGCTCCAGCTTAATCCTTTTCAAACACGTCTCAGAACATGGGGGAAAACGATGTTGAAAAATACAGTCAAGCTGGCCAGATATTCGAAAACTTTGTACAAGCATCAACATGCAAAGGTACCATTCAGGCCTTTAATATTCTCACTCGCCAACTTGAATTAGATCCTTTGGACAATAGAAACTTTTACACCAAACTGAAGTCAAGAGTGACCACGTGGAAGGCCAAAGCTTTGTGGAACAAGCTGGATAAGAGAGCAAGTCATAAAGAGTATAAACGTGGAAAATCTTGTATGAACACAAAGGTAAGTGGAGAAGTTCAGTTTTGGATTTCATAGCTTAGAATCTTTTAAAGTTGTTTTTCGGCAGAAGCAGGGTTTATACCATCACACACAGGTATTTTTGTTCTGCAAGTTTTGTGGAAGCACACAGCATGTAAGAGTGGTCCTAAAAGCACCCTGCTTTACAATCTGCCTCAATTGTGGCAGAAAAGTTTTCTGTCCTCTTTAGATGTCGGTGTCAATCAGGCATAAGATATAAACTCATGAGGCAGTAGGCTTCATTCATTCCAGGCTCACAAGAACTACTTGATTTATTAAACAGGGTTTTGCAAGGTGGAAATCATAGTGTATTCAGTAGGCTCCTCTGGTGCTTGGTGCTTGCTCTAAGAGACCAGGGCTGGCCAAATGTGTTTCAACCGCAGTTCTAAACTGTTGTCTGGAAAGTGCTATTTGGAGGCCTGAGGATCGGTCTTTGTCACCTAGTATTGGCTCTAGTCACTAAACAGCAGCAAAAGAAAATCCTGCACTATTTAGGGATTTAAATACTTTCATGTAACCCTTTTTCACAAGCAGAATGAGGATAATTGCTGTGTCGTAGTTACAGAAGGAGATGGTCTGCTTAGTTGTGGAAAGGACAGGAAATTACCTTCTCTTCAGCAGAGCATACAATACCATATTTTGATAGAGAGAACCACTGAACGTTGGTATAAATCTTCTTGATAAAACTGTACAAACTACTCTAGTTCATGCCACTTGTTTCATCTAGCTATCACAGAACATTTTTAACGGCTTTGAGAGCAATTCAGTTCTTTACTGCAAGTGATAGCTAAAAGTTGCCCCAAGGAGTGTAAGTTTTAAGAAGCTACTTGACTGTATAGAAGTAGAACAGAGAGGAAGGGCACACTGGGGAGTAACTAGACACCAAAATGTGGATGACTTTAATTAAAACTATTACTGAACTGTTATTTTAGAGACTCAGTAGACAGGCAGTGTTGAAAGTATCTTCCTTCTTGTTTCCATCGTTGCATTGAAACTTCTCAAAAGCGCCAGGGAGAAGGACACCATGTTACCTTCAGTACATATAGAGGCCTCTGGTTTTATTTATTCATTTTTAATAAGCTCCCGATTATTATTAACTTCTTCTAAGGTAATAAATGTCCTTATTACAGTTTTCTTTAGAAAATGAAGAGTGCCATCACAGATATTTGCACTGCTTTCCTGACAGCTTCTCTCTTTCTCCTTTCCTTTTTCCCTTCATTTCCCTTTTTGACCTTGTGCTTCCTCCCTCCCTTCTGTTCTTTTCAAAAGGCCTTGAACATATGTCATTGAGCATATCTGTGATGAAAACAGACAGGAAAGGGAAGGAATGAGAAAGTGTCTGATGATTAACAAATTATAGGAGATATTCCACATACACCTCACTCACACATACAGCCCTGGGTCCAAATCTCCATGGTTAGTTTGAGGAAGTATTTGCAACACAAAAAAGTAGTTTGAAGAGCCTTGTGAAATATAAAAATGAAGTACTTCTCTCTCAAGTGTGACATTACAAAGCCAAGGGCTGGTTCCACAAAGTCCTTAAGCAAAGAGGTTGGTTTTTATATATGGTGAGAAGACTCAGGGAAATCAGTTGGTACATAAAATACAGCCTGTGTAATGCTTTACAAGGTTGCCAAGCAGGAGGCTAATCAACACCTTCTGCAGTGTTGGAAGTATGGTATTACTGCTCTTTGAGAGTAAAGATTGATTTTTAGTGGCATGGTGTTAAGTATTTGCAGAAATTAATGGACATATCTATGATGCACATATGATCAAATTGCAGATGAATATAGAATGTCTGTATATGAACAGTGTGTGTATAGATATTCTGTGAAATACTTGTAGATGTTCATTATGAACCTGGACCATGCCCAGACCTGCACTTCACTGTGTCATCAGTGATTTAACGAGAGAAACATGAATCTTCAGATTGCTGCAAATGAAAGCAGTAACCGCAGTCTGCGGGCTCTGTGGGGATATCTACCAAACATTCCTCACATGTGAATCACAGTCTGCTGTGAAAGCCTATCTATGTAATGTGAATGAGAGGAGACACATTGCGAGAAGGCGGCGGACTCCCTGATCATTGCGGTGGTGTACTCTGACAGCCCCACTTACAGATAAGGAATTCTCAGAAATGCTGGTAGTCCAAACAAAATGCCAGTAGAGAGATTAGGCTACAATATACGTACCATGATTTTCCTATAGTGCAACTGGTGATTCTAAGTTTCTTTCTTGCATGTTATGCCAGCTACCATTTTTAGTAGTGAAGCAGGCAAACAGGAGTTAGCAGGCTAAATCCTGACAGCGGTGCCCAGCACTCACCTCTCTGGAGTTGCCTGGAGACTGGTTGAAGTAGATCAGCCCGGAGTAAAAATCTTACTTGTTAAAGCAGGATCACAAAATGAGCTAAGTGGATTTTTGCAACTGCAGCTCTGTCAACAGAGCCAAGGTTACTAATGGGCATCATTTTAAAAAAATACATGACATGAAGGCTTTATGTGAAGTTGTGGCCATGAGCTCCGTAGCTGAGTCTGCAGCTCACAGTTCTTCTCAGATACGGCTTTGCAATCTGTCTGGCTTCTTGCAATCTTCCTAATCTTTGCAGGAGATAAAGGAGATAAAATGCAGTCAGGATCTAAACTACTCATGGTCTTTTTTTTTTTTTTTTTTTTTTTTCCCCCCCAAACCAAGAACCTGCTGCCTCACCCAAAAATTGTTCATTTTTTTTGCACAGTATTTAAGAGCTGAATGCTGTACTTGATGATTTTTGTGCTTATAAACTCTTCAGCCACACTTAAGTTACTCATTACAATATAAACAAGTTTTATTCATACAGAATGTTCCACTCCAGCTAAATAACAATAATCCTGTGTCTTAACTGCTCTTGAAGAACGTTGCCAAATACGGCTTCCAAAGTTTCTACAATGATATGATTTTAAGCTGGATGAATAAAACCAGTTGAACAATTTTCAAGGAGTTCAAACCCACTGCTATTTCAGAGTTGCCTTACTGTGGACTTTATTTTCACTTTAATTCTTTGTAGAAGGAAAAAAACCAAAACCAAAGTTGCAGAAAGACATACACAAAATTGGGGCAGAAACAAACTTTTTTCGAAACTGTAGAAGTCCATCTGTATGTATGTTAAATCTGTATCAAACATACACTTCCTTCCATCACAAACTTGTAAAATGGGAATGAGTATTGTTCAGAGTAGCTGTTTCTGGAGCTGGCATTTGCACAGTTCACCAGTATTAGGGAGAAACAGAAGTCTGTCCTAAGCAGCCAAAACTCGAGAATTCATACTGTGATAGATAAACATAAAGAGCACAACTTTATTATCCTGGCAAAGTTTCTCTCTCATTTTCATCTTTTACTAATCAATGCAGAGTAGCGTGCCCGGAATCTATAATGATTATTTGTTTCTTCATGGAATGAAACGTAGCTAGACAATTGGAGAAGATTAAAGGTTTAACATATGTTGTGCACCATGCTAGCAGCTTGGATGTCTCTCTAAATTTTTGAACATGCAAAACATAATACAATGATGAACAAGAATCCATCCAGTCAGTTGCAGAGTGTTTTCAATAGCCTTTTCAAGACATATGTGAGTGTTCTCTAAACATGTCTGAACCTCTCTGTATGGAGTAGATTCTTCACTTGATTTACTAGCAGTTTACCTGTGTAAATGATACAGATATGCGCATGCACATATAAATGAGGCTCCAACTGATGTTTGAGGTAAGTATGTACATGTATCAGAGGGCAGGACCTGGCTCATGCTGTGCACCTGAAATTCTGGCTCTCCCATGACATTCATGCTTGAGGAGAGCAGAGATCGCTGCACATGAAAACATCTCAGACTTACTCTGAAGAGAGGTGTTGATTCTGTAAAGCATGCAAATGTGGTGTTGTCTTCCCTCTCAAACATGTGTGCTGTTTTTTTAAAACACATGCTTACACTTGAGGAGAACTAAGGAAACTCTGTTTAAAGTGCTAATGTGTAATTGTCAGCTGCCTTGGTAGACTCGAGCGTTTCTCTCTGGATATACCTAGTTTCAGATGATGGTGTCGCACATTGTGGGGAGGGCGGTGGCAAATTCCTGTGCATGGCTGTGGTCGTTTGAGCATTGTCTCTATTGCAGACCCCACCTTGGGCACAGTTCCTTGGCAGAGGACTTGTGCAGTCTGAGCAGTGGTTTCAAGGCCCAACTGGACAACATTAGCATAAAGCAAGTAAATACAATTGAGCTAAGAAGCCTTGAGAGCTGTGTGTATAAATACATACATACATGCATTTGGAGGTATATGTGTGTATATATCATAGGTTCCTGAAAAACAAATTAAATGATCTTGAAGTCCGTCCCTGTTGGCCTCTCTTGTTTTCCTTGTTCCTGGACTTGGCCTTTTGAAGCTTGTTTTATAATAGTTTAGGTTCCCCTCCAAAAAATTCTGTTGGGAAACTTATTGCAAGAGAATGACTCTTAAATTATTTATGACCACATTTCTAGGGCTTGCATAAAAACACAGTGGCTCTTCACAGTAGCATCATATGCTGTCAGTCCTACCTGGAACTGGTGGCATTGGCGTCTCTGCTGTAGGGGGGGCTCCATGGGCTCCTCTGGTGGGGTGCTGCTTTAGCCAAGGCAGCATTACAGAGAGCGTGTAGCTTGAGGGGGGACAGGAGCAGAGGGGAGTTGGGGGCCAGGGCATAAGCCAGCTGAAGAGGAGCCCTGGGTCAGAAATGGGAATGGAGGATGGAGGTTTTGTGACTGACTCAGCACTGGCTCTGAGCCTTGTCTCGCTGTACTGACCACACTGGTGTACCCACGAATGATAAAACGGGACAGTCTTTATCTGCCAAACCCCTTCCGCTCCTTTTCATACTGTCTCCGTTTCCAAAGGCTGTCAAACGAATGCTTTGGGAGTTAATTAAACCTACTTTGCCTGGTGCTCTCCTTCCCACAGAGTTGAGAAAGGGAGAG